CAAATGCTTTAATGGTCATTGGGCATGCATTTAATGCCAAGCGATTTCAGCTGCAACAGTTAAGCAAATTCTCTAAATTCAAAGAACAGAGCATTGAATAAGTTGCCAGACCCGACCCGCCACGTGTGAGACCTGACCCGCCGGTTGATTGGACATTTTTGAGCGGGAATTCTTGGCAGTTTATCTCCTATTGTTGTATAATAGAAGATATATACATATCTTGTATAAAATGCAACATGGTTATATAAAAGGTGCTATTTGAAATAAAAAATCAACACCATAATTTATTTTTCACGATGATTATATGAAAAGTGAATTTCTTTGATTTTTAGTAATTTTTAAAAATGATAACGTATAAATGTACTCATTTCAACTAGAATTTTTCATGCACTTATGATTAGAATATACTGCACCTTTTTGAACGACATTTTTCATTGAATTGCTTTGCAACTTTCTCGTGCATTTGTGCACTTTTGAACATTATATAAGTAATTCACTTGTGCACCATGTAAAACATAAAGTTGCACTATAAAATTCAGTTCGTGTACCTGAGAATATAGTGTGGATTTATTTGTTTTTTAAAACTACATAATTTATTAAAAATGCATAATGTATAAACATAACAAATTTCAACTACCATCTCTGCACTTTTTTATTAGAATGTCTTGCACTTTTTAGAAAGGCATTTTTCATTGAATCGCTTGCACTTTTCATGTGCACTTTTGAACATTATTTATGTAATTCACTTGTGCATCGTGTAAAACATAAAGTTGTACTATAAACTTTGAGGTTGCAAATAATAAAAAACAAATTATGCAATATCCTACTCGTCATGTAAAAATATAATTAACGAAATAAAGATGTAAAAATGATAAGACGTAAAGTAAAATTGCACAATCATATAATACGTTACAAAATACGGAGTAATGTTTATTGGGATACTACAATTTCAAGATTGAAAATAAATTAAAGAGCAGAAAGAAAAATAAAAAATTGTTTAAGATACTCACTACATACATAAAAAAACATCCGCACAAGAGAAAGTGTCAGATGAAAAAATAATCCTCACCTAAAAGTGACACAAAAGTAAGCCCATAACTCATACTACGTAATAATGATAAAGACATACGGAGTAATAAATAAACATAAACAAATATACTCAAAAGGAAGAATCAAACGGTAGCCCCCTCGGCTGATTAGTAGCAAGAGAGAATTAGGAGATGATCTAATGGTCTATATTTATTCTCATTTCTCTCCTAAGATGATTTTCTCATTTGAACACACACACACACACACATATATATATATATAGGGAGCGGATCAGCTGAGAAGTGTCTTTAAGCTGAGAAGTCTAACTTATAAGCAAAAAACACGAACTTTTAACCAAAAATACATAACTTATAGACCCCTCAAAAACACGAACTTTCTGCAAAAAAAAAATCCAGGTTTCTGGAGTTATTTTGACGCGGTGGCATTTTCATAATTTTTTTGGAGGGGGTCTATAAGTTATGATTTATTGGTTAAAAGGTCATGTTTTGAGCTTATAAGTTAGACTTCGCAACTTCTCAGCCTAAGGGGGACTTCTCACATGATCTTTTCTCTCTCTCTCTCTCTCTCTCTCTCTCTATATATATATATATATATATATATATATATATATATATATATATATATATATATATATATATATACATATATATAGGGAAGAGTTCAAATAAAAAGACATCTTCCCGTGCAAAGTGCGAAGATATGCACTTTGGCATGTTTCGTTTGCACTTTTGCGTGTTTCTGTTGCACATTTTCGCGGTAACAAAAAAGTGCAACGTATTTACGAAATTGCCACCGCGATTTTGGTCGAATTTTGTGCATTTTTGGCCCATTTTGAGCCATTAGATGTGGAAATGAATGCACAAGATTCATTCTCACTTTGCATGGGAAGAGGTCTTTGTATTTGAACCATCCCCTATATATATATATATATATATATATATATATATATATATATATATATATATATATATATATATATATATATATATATTAGAAATAACATACTCCGTATTTATTACTAGTTGAGATGTCATTTTGCAATTTCCATATTTAATTTAATTCACATGATACAATCAAGATGATATTTTTTTTTTACTAAAATGACATTTTTAGCTGTATTTTCTTGCAAGTTAATATGCCAATAAAATGACCTTCGAGATGACATTAATTTTAATTTAACAAGGCATTAGATCACGAAAACATGACTTTATGACATTATGACTTGATTACGATATTATGGTATCATCAGATAATTCATGATCTTATTTTTTTGCACTTTCAGCCTATTTTAATCCTACTTATGCCATTCTCTCTTTTTTCAAAAGTGTCGGATCATCGACAGAAGTCTCTTTAAATTCAAAACAAATGGAGTTTTTTTTCGAATTAATGCTAATTAATTAATTAATTACGAAAATAATGTTGGGTTAAAAGTATTTACGGATCTACTGTTGGATTTAATCGTGGTCAGGGAAAATCGTCTAACCGTTGGGCGACTTTCCATTAAGTAAAAACAGCGCACAGCCACAAAACAGAACACTGCGAATGAAACCCAACCCCCAAATCCTCCAAGCAGCAGCTACGAAAGACGAAGGACGAAGGATGACCGAGTCATTTCCATCTCCGGCGAACTTCCATATCCGGCGACCCCACTCCGGTAAACCTCCATCTTCAACACTCTTTCTTCTTTCTTGTAGGTAAATCAAACTCCATTTCATCTCATTTTTAACTTAGGGTTTTGAATGTTAAATTTTTGGAATTTTTAGATTATGAAATGTTCAAATTTGATTTGAAATTGATTTTGACATGTATATATTTTGACATTTGGGCATTTGGGTGGATTTGAATGTAGCTAAATTTGGGTATTGAAATGTAGACTTGAATGTAGATATCAAAATTTGGGTATTTTCATATTGAAATGTGAGTTGTTTGTGAATCTTGACTTTTGGATATATTTGAATTGTTATTAGAATATGGATTTCTCAAGCTTCCCAATTGTGTGTCATTGGGGAGGGAACTATTATGAGGATGCTGGTCAAATATGCCATGAAGGTGGTACAACCACATTTGTCATGGTTTGTCGTGGTGCTTGCATGCTCGAGATCCTTCAAAAAATACATACAACCACAATGATTCATCCTAGCCGTTCTTTGCGTTTGAAAATGAAATTTCCCATGAACGGGGGAAAGTACATGCTTATGCCCCTCACTGATGAGCTAGCTATAACAAATATGTGGGCCATAGTTCAGATGGAGGACATGTCAATGCTTGAGATATACATTGAGGAATCCATATGTGACGCTTATCGTACTCCATCAACATCAAATGCTGTTGTATCTAGGCATTATGTCAATGCAGGTGTGAATGCTGGGAACTCCTCAAATGTTCCTGTAATGAACATGGTTATACAGGAAGATGGTAAGTATTTGCACAACGGTGCATCATTTGTGGATGGGCAGGGAAGTGATGATGATGCTGACGACAACATCAATGGTGAAGATATGACAGAATCTGATGAAGATGATGGCGATACGGTCACGACAACTGCCCCGTCTACCCACTTTACTAGAATGTATGATCTCCCTGAAGGCTTTACTGATACGTGGCTGAGTGGATCAGGTGAGAAAAGGTTTACCCCCGAAGGTGAGTTTGAGGTCGGTCAACAGTTTGACAACAAAGAACAAGTCATCAATATGGTGAGCTTGTATTCTATCAAACGGAACCAATTTTTTCGGGTGATAGAGTCCGATAAACACAAATGGGTGGCACAATGCAAAAGGAAGAAAGAATGTAATTGCTCCTGGAGAATACGCGCCACAAAGAACAAAGGCAACCTTGACACCTTCACAATTGTGCGTTATCCTGGACCTCATTCTGCTACGTGTGTTGGGAACACCGACACTACCGATCACGTGGCTTTGACTTCAGATTTCATCTGTAAAGATGTGATTGACATTGTTCGCACTGATCCTTCCCTTAAAGTGCATACTATCATTGAGATGCTGAAGGAAAAGTATGAGTATACAGTATCATACCGGAGAACATGGATGGGGAAGCAAAAGGCCATAGCATAAATATTTGGCGGTTGGGAGAAGTCATATTCTGAATTGCCCCGTTTCTGAAGAGATCATCAAGACACGATGGGGGGTCCAGTGGGTAAGGTGTTAATTATAATAATTCACATTAATAAAATTGATGATTAAAAAAAAGAATTAGTATAATAGTAAAAATTAACTAATACAATTTTGTTTGTTTGTAGGCATGCAGGTGACAGCGGATCCTAGGTCGAGTGATCATGACAACTTCTACTTTGTCTTTTGTATTGCAGTTTTTCTTGTACAACATTTTAGATAATTTACAACATTTTAGATGTTATAGGAACAATTTACAAAATGTTACATATTTTCTCTTGTATGTTGTATTTCTGTGTTCGAGTATGAATATTAGATGATTAATTGTTATGAATGTTTGATGATTGTACTGTGTTTTACCGGTGAGTTGTATGTGTTTGTGAACATGTGTGTTGTATGTTTTATAATGTGTTGCATCTCACTCGTAACACTTACACAGGAGAAGGGAGACCTTATTTATAGCAAAAAGATGAGTCTGGGTTGAAATGGGGCAAAAAAACTGATGAAATTCTATTTTCGGAATTAGGCACGATCGTGCCTACCCGTCCGGGCACGATCGTGCGTGGCTAGCAGTAGCTGTTGGTCTGCGTTTATATGGAAGGGGAAAGTCGCCCAACGGTTGGGCGACTTATAAGTCGCCAAACCATTTGGCAACTTATAAGTCGCCCAACCGTTGGGCGACTTTCCCTAACCATGGTTAAACCCAACAGTAGATCGGTAAATATTTTTTTACCAGCATTATTTTCGTAATTAATTAATTAATTAACATTAATTTGAAAAAAAACTCAAAAAATGATCTTTACATTGAATACCGGCATTGGCCAAAATGAAACAGATATCCACCATAAAAGATTAAGACTACACATCTCCAAGAAAAACAGTCACAAGAAAACGAGCAACAATAAGGGAGGAGAGGGCTAAACCATGGCATTACATTATACGGAGTATTAGTTTGAAAGCTAGACAAAATGATTTAACAATTAACAACAAAAAAAGGTTAGAAAACAAAAAGAGAGGAGAAGGCATATACTGCTTGGAAATGCAATAAGTTCCATTGTGGCTAATTTATTCCTAGCTCTTCTGCACTGCAAGTGCTGGCGGGAGAGCTCCCCATCCTTATCTATGTGATGCAAAATCTAATAAAACATGTTATGTGCAGCAACATCAAGTTGTTGTTAGGGAGACGATAGTATGAGCCCTCACAGTGTCAGCAAACCTTTTCGACATCCATCTGAGAATGAATGGCCTTGTAGCAATTGAGGCTGCACAGAGGGAGCTTCGACTTGGAGTCACGGTACTTGTATGGGTTCAAACATGAAGGGCCAGCACACTTTTCACGAGGAGGTGGATAACTGAAATTTCAAAACAAATCCAAAAGAAAAAAGTTTTTAATTTTCTTCCTTTTTTTATTATAATTGGGCATTGTATACACATGTATCCATTCACTTTCAGTTGCTCTACTTCCATTTTACGGAAAGTAATTTTTACTTGCTCCACTTTTCATTTTTGACAACTACAATCATACCAGAAGACATAAATATCCTTATTTTTCACACCTCTCTCCTACTTGTTTCTCCTTTTCTACAATTCACTACCATCTGCAATTTTACACTAGATTCCGTGAAACCCTATTGGTGCAACTACATGTGAACGGAGGTCATAAATATGTTTACCTGCAGGGTTTGGATCCGAATATGGGGGGTAAACCCATCTCCATTGGAAATGTCACTACTGTCCCTGTAGGCCTCATGATGATTCTGACAGTTTCTGATGCAAGCACTTGATGTTTAGCAGCCTTCTCCTATAAAGGTATAGGTGGATAGATCAATTTAAATGGGGGTGGTAATGAATGGATGCTTGATAGCATCTATTATGAATATGACCTCTAAATGCACACTTGCGTACCTGGGCCAACTCTTCTTGGCGCTTCTTCACTTTGTCCTCTTTCTTCTTTCTATTTGAGTCTTGACCAAGTATTTTTCTAATTGCCTCGGCCTGTTTTATCAATATGATAGGCATGGCTTACTACATTAATAAAATTCTCAACACATGAGGGTGGCAGTAGGTTAAACAAGCAAATAGCCAAAGGGAAAACCTCTGATTCTCGAGCTGCCTTCTCATTTTGCATTCTACGCCTATGTGCAGCTTCAGTTTTCTTTAGTTGCTGCTCCACCTCAGTGAGTTTCTCTTTTTGTTCTGTAACAGTGCAAATAATCAACAGAAATAAGGCATTTAGAGCTCAATTGGTATACCTCTTTTCAAGCTTATCATCTACATTTTCACCAAACACAAAATTTACTACACTGGCTGGATGAGCTGAATAGCTGGTCATGAAAAAAGTAGTAGGAGTTAAATTTTGTCTAAAATTAAAGAGAATGACATTCCTAGCTTTATTTTCCTTTATATTATTTAAGAAGTATTCCCCCCATTCTTTATTAGTTACAACTTTTTTACTTATGCACCATTCACATACCATACTTTAACCTTTTTGCTAACGCATAAAAACAAATCCTATTACGAAAATGCTGCTAAATTTTTAGTCTATAGCGAAAAGTTTGGTGTTACTTAACATTATTTTACCTACTGTAAATACCATTTAGCAGAAGTTTCATAGAATCCAGCCAACTTGCAAGTTGCAAGCTTTTATTTTTCTTCTTTAAAAGTCATCCAAGCAAGCACAGTTATAAGGAAATAAATAAAAAACAGCACTTACTTCGAGATGGGGGTGGAGGCAACCCATTAGGGAACTCAACCTGACTCGCACCAGCAGATGGCTCCTTGCCTGAGAGAAGAGCACGTTGGCGTGTTGTAAGAGCTATTTCCCTCTTAGATTCTGTCTGCGTGTTAGGTGGGGAATCCCTTCTCTGTTTTTGTTTCCTTTTTGCTTCACGCTCCCCATCAGACAACAACACTTCTTCCTCCTCTTCATAGTCAGTGTCTTCAGAACTTTTATCAAATGATCTCTTCTTACCATCTTTGGTCGATCCTCCAATCTCTTCAACACTTTTAGAAACCCTAGAGAGACTCCGATGTTTGTTGGCAGGTTCCTCTTCAAAATCCCTAACCCCAAAAACTTTTGATGTTTTCAGCTTTTCCAGATATCGGATCTCATCATCTTCTTCATCGTCTTCGTCAAATGCCCCATCCAAAACACGCCTCTTTGGAACCCGTTTGCTCTTCCTCACGGAATCTGACTCTTTAGCAGTGTTTTTGGTTGACGTCTTCCTGTTACCCTCCCTGCTAGAATCAATAACCCCCCTAGACATATCTTTCATTGGGTAATGGGTTTTCTTATCTGAAAGAGAATGACCCTCTCCTGAATTGTCCTGTGATTGAACGCAAAAGTTCAGATGAACTAATTACAATGGGGTAGCTATATGGACGACTAACAAGGCCAAAAATGTCTAATGTGGTCTTATAATTCAAACTAAATTCAAAAACTCCAGTCTATATGAGAACATTTAACCTCCCATGAATCTATCTTCTAGTTAGTGAAAAGAGCCCCATAAAATCCTACAATCTAACAGATAAAGAATTGCATATTTGCCTCATTTAAATAAGTGAAATATTATTCTCCTCTAATAATAAAGATAATCAGTTAAATTTTATTTCCTCTGCCATGATGACAGCTGAAGGAGACTTGATACAATTCCATCGATATATGCAACTGAACTTCCTTCACCTCCATTCAACCACATAAAGTGTATTAAAAATGACGTAATCTGAAATCCTTTTGCTAACGAATCACTTGATAAAAAGGATAATTATGAGTGTACATGTGTGTATACCTGGATGGTAAGTCTCTGACGTGGACGAGAGGTATCAGAAGGTCGAGAATTCTTCGCGCAAGATCCATCACCAGAAGTACTATGGGGATTGTCTTTGGCTTGAATAGTACGTGTTACCCCACCGACCTTCAGCTTAACCTTCTTGAGCTTATTGTCGCTTCCTATACCGTTTTGAGTTGTTCCCAATTGTCTGGTAGGATTCAGGTCGTCATGGGCATCATCTCCTAGTCCACCATTGCTGTAGGACACTCTAGATCCCTGATCATCCTTGATCTTCTTATTTGGATGGTCACTTTCAGCTATAGTAGGAGAGCCCCTTGATATACACTGGTTAAGGCTGAACATCTTACCTCCAGAACTAACATCAGTTTCCTCACTGGAGACCCTAAAAGCATCATTTGAAGTTGGTGTTAATGCGTCATAACTTTCTAGAAACAGCTGTATCTCAGGCCTAGGTCGACGAGGAATGCTGCTTCTCCTCTTCCTTGTTATTATACTACTAGAAGCAGGAGCTTCAATTATAGTGCCACCAGATTCATCCATGATGTCTAACAAAAAAAATTAACAGTTGAAGGATGCAATCACCCAATAAAAGCTCGTTATAAGAAAAAAATGTACTAGTAACAGATTCACATAGGAATGATGAGAAGAGTCTAGAGAGATAATAAATCTGACAGACGTTATTCAAGCATAATTTGGATATTTCACCATATAGGGAAAATGTTCTTGACTATCCACAAAATGACAATAAGATTAAAGTATCAATGTGAAAAATTTCATTCAATAACAAGCATAAAATTGAGAAAACATATTGTAGCAAAGAAAGACCATTTTAAAAAACAATAACAGGATCAGTCTAGTGATGAGTTTGGCGCCATAAAAACAGAGAAGTAAGAAGGGATAGTAGGATTGAATGACAACAAGGACCGAACTACACAGGATGACCATATATATATCAACATATCGAAATATTAGTCACTGAATTAGTCCCGACAAGACACCCAAATCGGGAAAAGGAAGAAACTTCTCAACATATAGCAGGCACATTACTGGATCGGAACAAGTGCACAGAACTAAAGAGTTGAAATCATCAAAAAACCCAATTCGTAGAATACAATAAAACAGAACCAGAATAGAAGAACATAAAATAAATAAACAAATTACCTTCCTTTGTTCAACCGAACAATCAATCGGAAACGAAGAAATAGAGAACACGAGGCGAACAAGAACGCCGCAGAAGTTTAAGCGGGCTGATTGAAGCGAATATAGATATAGAGAGAGATGGCGGAGAGAAGACGAGAGGAAAAAGATGGATATAATATGAAGAAAGAAAGATTAGGGTTAGCGAATGGATGATGGGGGTGGGGTGGGTGAGGTCGAGGGTGGTCTCTATAGTACGAGTTGTGGGAGTAGTAAAGGGAAAGAAGACTCTCAAAATCTTCTCCATTTTTTTCCTCTCTTAATTCACCCTGGAGCTTCTGTTTTGTTTGGATCGCTGTCTTGATGACCCGACTCGCTGAGTTTGACCCGTCCGCCCTTTTCCATCCCTTCGAATTTCTTCTCTCTATAATCCTATCAAAATCGGTCATCCCCACTCTTTTCTTTTCCCTCCTCTGAACTTCTTCTTCGGTCGTGCTGCAACTATCTCTACGCGCATGTTAGCATACGCTGCTCACAATTCCGTTTACGTTAGTATCCACATCTTACGTCCCCACGTCAACACATTGTTAATGTTTTTATTGCTACTTTTTTGAAATAACACTAAATTATATTTTATAGGACTAATTATTTGTGTCTTGGATAAGTATATTTTTGTAGTTGTTAAAATATTTTAATTCAAAATAATATAATAAAAAATAAAAAATCGTAAAAACTATTAAAAAATTAATAAAAATATTTTAATAATAATTTAAAATAAAAAAAAAATTAAAAAACTTTTTTAAAAAAATAAAAACCCAAAAAAAAAATCACCGCCGCCTCTGCGGCCCAGCACCACCACCTCCAGCCACCGGGGGGAAATGACGCATGCATTACGAATGCCATATTTATGGCAGATCGAATGAAAATTTTGGCATTCTCAAATAGTAATACGTCGTTTTTGGGCATTTTCAGAAAAATGGCATTTTTTCGAAATGGTGGCATTTTTTTACACCGGTCAGTTATGGTGCACCGATACTTCACCCTAATATCGTATCCGTGTATCCAATATGTATCTGATACCGATACTCACTGATACGCGTCATGTACATATTGGGTCCGTATCCGTAATTTAATAAAAATATTGGATTTATTTTTAAAAATATGGATACATCTGATACTCATATCCATGAACCAATACGCGTATCTAATCCTATAAGCCCGATTTAATTAATGACATAACGAAAATTTAGTAGCCGCCCAAGCGACCACAAGATGTGGATCATTAGTAAGATAATTTTGGGAGTATAGAAAACATTGTAATAATATAATTTGCTAATTTGTCGCTTGATGAACATTAATTGAAATCAGTCTTGTTAAAAGACTTAGATGTAAATGCAAATAGAGAACCAAAAATATTATTTGAGTTTAAATCGAAATATTAGTATTTAGCTTGTTTAGTCTAATCTTTGAAATTTAATTATAGTTGTTAATTTTTCATACTGTTATTATTTTATTTATGAACCTCTGAATTATCTATATTTGCAAATTATACCCTATATTATTATTATTATTTTTAAACATACCCTCGTGCCTGTATCCTATGATTTTTGAAGTTGCCGTATCGACGTACCCGTATTCGTGTATCGGCGTATCGGTATCTGTGCATAATAGCCAGTCGGAGGTGGTGGTGGTGCAGGGAGGTAGTACAGGCGGTGGGAAAGGCATCAATATTTTTTTAATTTTTTATGGATTTTTAATATTTTTTAATTTTTAAAAAAACTTATTTTATAAATATTTTAGGGAAAACTATCATATAAGCCCTCGTACTATACCGAAAAAGTCAATTAGGCCCTCGTACATTACAAACACTCAATTAAGTCCTCGAACTATTAAAAAACGTTCAATTAAGCCCTTTTGGTGGGTAAGTAACCGATTTTCCGGTTAAACGACGACGATGGCGACGATGTGCTCGAACCCCAGCAACGGCGGCTTCCGGGAAATAGGTTACATTTAACCGGGAAATCGGTTACTTACCGACCGAAAGGGCTTACAACAACAACATCCAAGCCTTAGTCCCAAAAGATATTGGGGTCGGCTAACATGAATCGATACATGATATCACAACCAAAAGGAAAAGAAGGAATAAAGATAAAAAGATAAGTTATTATGAAAAGATAATATATAAAAAAGATGAATATATATAAAAATGATAAAATAAAAAGGCTGCAAATAATGCTTATATATATAAGGATAAAAAAACTAAGAAAAAAAAGATGAGGGAAAAAGATTATCAAGATCACCCCTTCACGTGAATACCGTCCTCCACTTAGTTCTCTTCAAAGTCATGCCCTCATCCAACCCCAGAAGAAGCATATCACTTCGAACTCCCCTAACACACGTCTGTTTGGGTCTTCCTCTCCCTCTCTTCCCTGCCTCTTCTCCACACATCTCAACTCGCCTAACAGGTGCATCACTCGGTCTTCTACGCACATGACCAAACCACCATAGGCGCGACTCCCGCATCTTGTCTTCAATAGGTGCTACTCCCACCCTTTGTCTGATTGTCTTATTCCGCACGCGGTCCTTCCTAGTATGCCCACACATCCAACGCAACATGCGCATCTCTGCCACACTCATCTTTTGAATGTGACATTGTTTCACCGCCCAACACTCTACGCCATACAGTAATGCAGGTCTAATTGCTGTCCTATAAGATTTACCCTTCAGTCTAGTCGACATACCTCGGTCGCATAGAAATCCTGACGCACTCTTCCACTTCATCCACCCTGTTCTGATTCTATTGGATACATCTCCATCTAACTCACCGTCCTTCTGAATTATGGAGCCCAAGTAACGGAACATATCGCTGACTGGTATCTCCTTACCGTCCCGAAAGGGCTTAATTGAACGTTTTTAATAGTTCGAGGACTTAATTGAGTGTTTGTAAAGTGTGAGGGCCTAATCGACTTTTTCGGTATAGTACGAGGGCTTATTTGATAGTTTTCCCTAAAATATTTATAAAATAAGTTTTTTTTTTAAAATTAAAAAAATATTAAAAATCCATAAAAAAATTAAAAAAATGTGGATGCCTTTCCCACCGCCTGTACTGCCTCCCTGTAAAGTGTGAGGGCCTAATCGACTTTTTATTATTTTTCTATGATTTTTTTAATATTTTACAAATTTATTATGAATTAAAACATTTAACTATGACTTTTGACTACCGTTGACTCGTATTTAAAGGAGGGGTAAGAATGGAATAAAAAATATGTATGTTTTCAATAGGAGTAATATGGTCCTATTTTAGAATAAAAAACATAAGAAGTCCTATATTTTATTTTTGTCTGAGTTTTACTCCTATTTGGAGTAATTTTTATTCCCACTACTATAAGGGGTGGGCACGGTTCGGTCCGATCCAATATTTCGTCTAACTCGTATCCGTGGTGTGACTATTGAAACGAATTAGTTCGGTTTGGTCTTAAACCTAAACCCGTTCGGTATGGTTCCATTTTCAAACGGGACGGTACCATGTCATACAAATATCAATGATGGAATATATTCCCATATACCCCAAGGGTATCATAATCACCGACAATGCATCACGGGAACATCCCGAAATAATCAGAGTACCAAGCTTCCAACTAAGGCCGACCCCGACCCTAACCCTGGAAGCACCGAGGTCGGGAACAAGTCCAAGATGACAAATTGACAAAGGACGAAAGACCAGCCGAGGCCGACCTCGACCCCCGAGGTCGGCGGAAACATCGAGCTCGGGAAACATCCAGACATGGCAAGATATGAGGCCGACCTCGAACACACCAAACTCGGAACCAACTATGACCTCGGATACGGATGCAAGGTTAACCGAAGTCAACGAAAGGAACAACGTTGTAAGACAACACCGAAGATCGAAGACCGAAGACCGAAGACGAATCTTCTAGCGATAAGCGCGAGCATCCGAGCTCTGGCCTCAGGAAGCTCGGGCCCCGACCAAACATTATGAACTTAGACAAAATATGGAAACAAATACCACACAACGCTACATACTGCCACATCATTAATACTTCCGAAGAATGTCACGTCACTCTCACCAGTTGACAGAAAGAATTTCCCGGATAATACATGTGTAACCCGCGTGTGTGTTCCGGTAATAGTTTGTTAGAGACGGTTCCAATCAGCACGCTGTCTCAGGTTATCTCTCCAATCACCTTTACACGTGACAACACCCCATTAGATCAGTTGGTATAGTTTGTTAGGCGGGCAGGACACACGTCCTCCCCCCATTAGATCAACATCTTTTTACTTGAGCACCAAGTATTTCTCTTTTAATATAAATATCACCTTCCAGCTTGTGGAAAGGGATCCGAATTTTACTCGCTTGCTGTTACTCTGCTGAAATATTGAGTTGAGCTTTTCCAATCAACTCTTATACTTACTGTACTCGGATTCTGGCTACCCCCTAGGTCGTCGATCCATCAACCAAACAATGTCACTTTTCCCAAGCATGTAAGAGAAAATTAAAGTTTAGTCATCCTCCAAATTCCATACAATTTATCAACTTTCATATTACATAATTAAAAAAATTTAGATAAACTATAGTAGTACAAATTTAAATAATTAAACTATACTTCAGTCCGATTCCAATCTTTCGTTGAACTAGCAAAGGTTGTGAAAATGTGAAAGCGCCAATTAAAATAATGGTATAAATGCACATTTAAATAATTAGATCATACTTCGGTCCGGTACCGGTTCTCATTTTATGAGAACCCGTCATGACATTGTTTGAAATCGGTACGATCCGGTTTGGGACAAAAAAATGAGATCCGTTTCAAACCCCGTTTTTTTGTCCGATACCATACCGATCCAGTTCGGTACTATGGCGATTCGATATTTTTGCTCACCCCTAACTACTAATATTCCATTCTTGCGTGTACTCGAAGCAAAATGCTAATATCATAAATGTTAGGAAATATTGAAAATAATAATTTCAACTATTATTGATCCGCTATTAATAATTTCAATTATTGATTATTCCTAAGTGGTCTCAACTATAGGAAATGTTTTTCAAAAATAGCCCATCAACGGCTACAACCTGGTATAGCATATCAAATTTAACTGTGAATTATGCATCAACTATAATAATCTTAACTATAGCCGACTTCTTTTATTTATCTAAATTATCAACTCTTAATTTTTGGAAGTTCTATAAATATTTTGATTAATTTACAAAGTAAATATTTTTAAGCATGTAAAAATAATATGAAAATTCTACAAATGTACCGAAGTTAAATGGAATATTTTTAGTCATTCTTTGATTCATTTTCACTAAAATTTCATTTTATTTCTTTTTCCAATTTATTTTCCCCAATTATTTTAACAAGTTATGATTTTGTATTATTTTCTTCTATTCAATTTTACATTATGTGTTTTCAAAAAGTAAATTGTGACTAAAAATTATAAGATTTAAATCTTTATTCAAAATTCTTTCATGA